GAGTGAACGTCTTAGAGGGGATGATTGTCCAGGCTACTACAGAAGTACATGCCTTCGAAGGGCCTATTTCTGTACTAGGGGATGTATATCCTCTTGCTTGCATCACAGTTTTTTCTTTGAAATGGCTCATTAGGTGCTACCCTCTCCTCTTGACAAGGTTTGTAGACTGCTGGCAAAGTCCAAGGGCAGAAGTTGTCTATTATGTAGCCTTTGGAAGCATTACCCCCCGAGACCTCTGGCTAGAGGCACGTAGTTTTTTGAAACCCATGCCTTTCTATAATTCCCACCAATGGAAACTCTGGCCAGATTTCCTTTTATACCATACAGTTATAGGCAAAATCCCAAAGGTAATAAGCAATGGAATTAGTTTTACTGCAATGGAATTAGTTTAACAGAAATGCTTCACAGTACTGTCTAATAGAATTATCTGCAATGATGGATTTGTTCTATGTCTGCACCAAAAACTGTAGTCACTAGCCACATGTGGCTCTCGAGCACTTGACATGTGCCTAGTGTGACTGAGGAACTGAAATTTAACTTTAAACTAATTTCAACATAAATAGCAGCTGCGGGTGGTGGATCTTATATTAGGTCAGTGATATTTTAGAAGAATTATATTTGTAATGCAAAGCATCAAGACAAGTAACAGCTGTTTTCAAAAGTCCGGTTCAGGGTGAGAGAGGCTTTTGCTTGTCTGAGTGCAATGAAGCAAATTGCTTCAATGGTCCATGTGGGGTGGAGATGCTGTATAATGATGGCTACTGTGCATTGCTCTCCAACTCCCTATCCCTGCCCAGCAATGTGAAGCCGGCCATGGAGGAGAGTTTACACTGTGGGAATCAGCATATGTTATAAATCAAGGCTCAATGAGCTCTACCCTTTGAGAGGTGGGTTGTCTGACAGTGACCAGCACACCACCACACATCTGCCAATTTGAGCAGAGAGGCCAACTGCGTGGCCTTAGTACAATCTTGAGTTTCCTGGCACCCAAAGAGAAAAAGGAGACAAAACCACACAGTTCTTATTGACAGAGAAGGAAAACCCATATAGTTTCTTAGAGGAAGCAAGACTTTTTTTTTAATCCTTGAGAGCTATGCAGAATAATTTCTTAGGTTTTTTAGAATGAATATGTTTGACAACAACTTTCCTGCAAAGCACAGAAGAATAGTAAATGTGTTGCTTGTCACATCAGCTAAGGACAGCCCCTTGGGTAGATGTCCGAGTGATTTGGCCCAAGTTTTCAGCTTTTAGAGGTCCATTGTGATCTATAAACACAGCTCAGAATGCTCAGGAAGGGCTGGTCTTATATCACATGCCACTTACGTATTCCCCAAGTCTTTTCTTACATTGGCTATGTGCATCACATCTAGCTAGATGAGGGAGGAATTCATTCATTTATTCATTCATTCACTCAAGACAATGTATTCAGGTGTAAAAAGCTCCAGACACAAACATAAAGTTGGGTCCCCAGATCCAGGTTTTATAAGGCTCAAATTTACAGAATAATTTACCAGATACTAAGGGCTGAAATTTGGAGGAGGCAAGAAAAACACTTTTGAGACCAAAATTTAAGAGGGTACCAAAAAACACAGTAATCAAGATAATATATTATTTATTAAAATAAAATTAATGCAAAACTTCACAATGCACAAAATATCAAAAGTAAAAACGAAGGCAGACTTGTTTGTTTGAGGCCCTTGCATTACTGGGCAAGGGTAGTAGTCATTTCAAATTAGCCAGGTGTTACAGTTTCCCCTAAGTGATTTATATGGGTTGACAGTGGCATGCAAATAAACTGGGCAATGTGGGCTTTATGTGTAGTATGTATTTGTGCGTGTGTGTGTGTGTGTGTGTGTGTGTGTGTGTGTATGTGTGTGTGTGTTTTGTTTGTACGGTCTTTATTAACTTCTTCCACTTGGTTCAAAATCTTGGAGACTGATTGGAAGATTGTAAATAAGGGTACACATTTTTCCTTGTGTCTCAGGTTCTAATAGGGCACTACTTCCTCTTTCCAGCTCCCTCATTTAAGCCTCACAAAGCCCCCCAAAGGTGGATACTATTTATTACTCCTCCTCCCTCTCTCCTGTTTTCCAGAGGGGAAAACGAAGGATTGCAAAGGCATGGCAAAACAGCACTGATAGTAACATTGCAGTTTAGTCTTGGAACACATCAAGGTGGTGTATGATGACAGGTGCTAATTTTTGATTGAGAACGTTTCGGGGCAGTTTTAGTTCTGGTCTAGCAAAGGTGTGTCCAGGACACTGAGCTAAATGCTGGCATTTAGAATCAGGTAAATCCAGTTCCCTCCAAGGCTCAGAGGTTACTGTGACCAAGTGATTTGGGTAGAACCTGGAGAGAGCTAAGCGAGGGCCCCAGGGATCTGTGGCTCAGCAGAAGGGTTAAGGGGATGGTCAGAGACAAGGCGTGGGGGAGAAGCCAGGGCACCCCCATGTAGGACTTAATCTGATGTTGATGTCAGTACTGCCTGTGAACCTGTCTGCAAGATATGTACAGAACATTATCCCTGCTCTATTGCTGTGAGCCCACTGCCTTGAGAATTAAATGCCATCTTGGGCATCACCGCGCTCTGCATGCTGTAATTTGCTGTATGAATTTAAGGGCACTTGAGAAACATGTCTGGTTTAAAAATATGTAGTGCATTCCAAAGCTATGAACATTTCCCAACACCCCCCCATGCCTGAGTAGCTGCACTCTCCTCCCCAGAGAAGGCCCCCTTAGCAGCTCCTTGTGTCTCTTTTTGGCAATAGTGTGCACATAGAAAAGCACTTAGACGCCCAAGTGCCAGAGCACTACATTTAAGGGATTTATGATGAGCACAGCTTCCAGCACATTATACAATGGGGAATGCTGCCAAGTGGCTGGGAAATGGAACATTTTGGGCATCAAATTATACTTCATAAGTAATTCTAAATCAGGTGTTCTCAAGCTCAGCCCTAGTGATATTTTGGCCTGGACCATTCACCGTTATGGGGGACAATCCTGTGTATAGAAGCATGTACAGCAGCATCACCGATGCTCATCTCCTGGATGCCAGGAGCACACAACTGCACCCTCTCAGTCCCCAAGTGTAGCAGCTGAAAATTTCTCCAGGGAAAGGGAGCCGCAGCATCCCCCTTAAGAGCCACTGTTCTGCTGGGCATCCTGGCACAAGCCTGTAATCCCAGCACTTGGGAGGCTGAAGTGAGAGAATCTTCATGAGTCTGAGGCCAGCCTGGGCCACACAGTGAGTTCAAGGCCAGCCTGAACTACAAAACAAGACCCTGTTTCAAAAACATCCACTGTTCCAAACCTTGTGTGATATTTGCAGAAAAGTGACAGATAATTAAGAGGAAAAATGTGGAGGATGCAAAGGGATAAAAAATTAGGAAGGAGCCAGCATAGAGAAATTAAAAGTCAACAGTTATTCTATAACTAATGCAGAGTCTTCATGAAGGGGATCATAAGGACTAACTTCCTGGCTTCACGCAGGGGAGAACAGGAAATAGGTTTAAGGAGAAGAGAGAACAACATGGTTAAACCTTTACTTATGCTTCTTCCTAATGGGCATCTTCTTTCCTGAGGATGGTTGTGAGCAGAATAATATAATATGGCTAGGGATTATTCTCTTGGGGATTTTTGGTTAAGATTTGAAACTCTTCAACTGATTTTAACCAAAAATTTTTGCTCCATGACCATGTCTGCTATGGTGCTTTTAAAAAACTCTTTCTCATTCCAAGATCAGTATTGCTAATTGTGAAAAATTAGATTATGTAGCAAAATTAAAAACAGGAAAAAATTGAAAACATCCTTAATCCCACTAACGAGTGAAATACCACCTCTGATATTTTAGTGAATTCTTTCCTAATTATTTTCTTTGTTTATATATGTGAAAGTATATTTGTGGGTAGAAATGTATTACACTTAGGTAACAAAAATGGGTCACTTCACAGATAACACTTTTTCTATTAGTTCCTTGAAAGGAACAGTTAGTATTTATATTGTTTGATCAATCTTACATGTCTGTATTTGGTAATCTGAGCAACTACTTTGAAGATAACAGCATGTACTATGATAGCCGTTGTCAATTTCCTATCATCTAGTTTTGAAATTCTGTATTGTTTTTATTGCTTTTTATTATTGTGTTTAAAATAAAAAATCCACTGCAAATGTCTTTTCTTGTCTGTAAGTATCTACTATCATATTATTACATTCTTGCTATGTATGCATACCTTAGAATTTAGCACATCCAAAAAAAAAAAAAAAAAAGAATTTAGCACATCCTCTATTTTTGGAGATTTAAATCCTTTCCAGGACTTTGAGATCATAATTATTTCAGCAAATTTTCCTTAGTTCTTTGCACACCTTTACTCCCACTGCCTACTCAGGGAAAATTCCTGGACCTGAATAGCTGCAGCAAATATGCACAGCTGTTATAGACCCAAAATAATTGGTCAAATTATGCATATTTTATAAAGCTTTTGCTAGGAATTGCTTACTGGCTCTCGAAGCAGATAATTCAATTTACATTCCATGGGTGGTACCGGGTTTTGTTTTTGTTTTTAACCATTACCAAATTGAAAATTTGATGAGTGAGGGTGGAGGTTGTTGGAAGAGTTATTTCTTTGTGTAGAAAACTGCGTGGCCCAACTTTAGGCCTTTTAAAAACTGTCTTTTATTGTAATTTAATTTTTAATTTTTTTTCCAATTGATCAATCACTTGGAAAAAGAGAAGGTGAAAGTAGCCTATTTTTTTTTGGGGGGGGGAGCCTGTCCTCTGATGAAAGTACTGTATTTAGTCATGTCAGCCAAGCGGATCTAGAGCTAAGCTGTTCTTACTCTCCTAGGGTCCTCCTCTGGCAGCAGGGGCTATGTTACACACCCTCACCTTCCACTGACTCAGAGAACTCTTGTCCTCGTAGTCCGTAGCAGCCCAGCCTCTGAGGGCGGGGCGACTTGTATAGGGGACGCTGGGTTCTCTCCAGACGGGATTGCACCTAGGATAGGAGGTTAAGGACATTGGCACCACGGGACTCCGGAGCCAAGAGGTGACCGGGCGGTCTGGGCTGGGCTGAGTGGCTGGGCCAAACACGTGACGTTCCCAGCCTGCCTCCTGGGCCTCTGGGCGCCTGAGACTGAAATCGACATTTGCCTCTGGCAGGAAAATGAACTTGTTGGTTTCCGCCCGCATCAGACCCTCAACCCAAAGAAGTGGGGGGTCGCGGTAGCATTTTAACGCGCTATCTCAGGAATCTGACAGCGAAAGGTAAGTTGTTTATCGTTCAAAAAAATAAACCTGACAGGAGTGACCTAGAAAGCTACTGCCACTTCGTCGATTTAAAAAATCTGGTCTAGAAAATAATAGATATCTTTGAGAGGCAAGGGCTCTATTTATCCCCAAATTAGAGACTGACTTTCTGAACAGAAATTTGGTTAATCTAGAGGGATGGTAGTAAAAGGGCCAGGGTTAAATATAGGACAAGAAAGCTGCTGGAATAAATAGCAAGTAAACTCAACTCCAGCCTGCTTGGAAAACTATCTATTTCACAATCCTTGCAGGGGTGTGAGCAAAGAAAATGATAAAATAGTGATTTAAAGTCCAGTGGAAGTAAATTAGTCTAGATGATACTGGAATACAAATAAAAAGTTTCTGCTTTTGTACTTTTACTTTTCAAAACCATATATGTGGTATGGTAAAGGAAAGTTGATATTGCTGCACTTCAGTTTGAAATATACTATGTCAAATTTATGAAATTCTCACAGCTGGAATTTTCTAAGGCTTTGTAGGCAAAGCTGTTTCAGTTGTAAATGAGAAATATTGACATTGTACAGCTTTTTTGATAGTAAAATAACTCACTTCAGAATGTGACAAAAATTTAAAAATGTGAAATAAAGAGTTACTGTGAATTGGGTCTTTCATGCCTTAAAGATTAAATGCTTTACCAGAAGATGTAAGATAATAAGTACAGATCCAGGTACAATTTTGCTCATGTAATAGTGCTTTATTTTAAATAATTAAATATTGAAGTAAGTAGTATGGATATGGTGTCACTATTTTTTAGTTTGGTAAATACAAATTAATACTGGAATGCAGCTATTGAGAGTAATTAAAGCAGTATTTATCAGTGTAGTTAGTATGATATTTCATAATGAATTGTTTAGGATTAAAGTGTTCCATGTAATATTTGACATACAACTGGAAACAATGAATCTCTATGCAAGGTATGCCCATGTGTGCTATATTTTAAGTGTCATTTTGATTTGCACTAAGTGTAGTTCTCTATTGTATTTGATGAATACTAGTTTTACAATAAAACACTATATTGTATTTCCTTTCTCTATAATCCCCTTATTGCTAGCTCTTTTGAAATCCTATTACATGCTTGGAGCCTGTAATAATTTGGATTTCTCCTTCTGTGTGCTGTTTGTTTCCCATAATTCTTCGTGAAAGGCCGGGAACGCTGAACACATCAAGCAAAACTCCCTGAAGGGAGGTCAGAGCGAGGTTTCCGGCCACTAGCTGCTCACCTTCTGAGAAGCCCAGGGTCTTTCCCCTCCACCGCCCTCCCGTCTCTCTCCCAAGGCGTCACGTGGGAGCGTGGAGCCCGCCTCCCGGTGACGTCACAGCGCTCGCAGCCATCGCGCCGAAGAAAGGATGCTCTAGGATGCTGTCCAGGTGGGCGGCCGAGCTGCGCGATGCGGCACTGCAGGTAAGGGGCCCGCGGCGCCCAGACGCCCTCCCAGACCTCCCCAGCGGCGGGTGCGCTGCAGGTGGAGCCCCAGTGCGGTCAGTAGGCCTGAGCCCTGCAGCGCCCCACCAAACGGAATGTGGAACCTCTGGCTGTGGTGGTGCCTGCTGCTCACAGCTGCCCGCCTGCTGCTGCTGCTGCTGCTGCACCAGTCGGGGAGTGGCCTGGTGCAAGTCCACGCGTGACTTGGGTCTTGGCGGATCCACCTCGCAGAGTGGGCTGGGGCCAGCTAGAAAGACTTTTTTCCCTCAGAAAGGGAAAAAAAAATCTGGAATGACCACACTGAGAGAGAGAAATAACCACCAGCCGTTGTTTCCCCTCTGTCATTGTGCTTCTTAAATAACATACTATGGATTCTCCTTACATGGGTTTTTTCTCAGTCGTTAGCCTGATTTCTTTCAAGGCAAAAGCTTGCTGGGGGTTGGCAACTTCTTGGTTAGCAATTAAAGGGCCAGAGGTGCTTTGTAAATAATTTTGCAGGGTTCCAGCATTTAAATGTATTTTTCTTCTAGGTATTTTCAGTAGATTTTAAAATAACAGAATCGAATAAAATGAAATAAAATGCAGCATACAAAGATAATATGCCAGTGTAAGAGACTGCTAAATCTCTAAGAACAAAATGGCCTTTAGCAGGGTGGGGGGTGGAGATAACACCAAACCCTAAGAATCTCCAGAGTTCTTAATTTCCTTGCTGAATAATTAGCTTGTTCAAGCAGGGGCCTGATGACTCAGGTGCAGATGGAGGAAGTCAGGTGGTTCTTCAGTTCCAGCATGGCAGTATGTTTGTGTCTAGGGGAGGAGGGAGTTGATAGAATCTTGCCGACCCTGTTCACATTCCTTGCTCCTGGTCTGTAGCCAGGACATGTGTGGGCACCTTACAAGGTGAATGTGCCATTCTTTCCTGAAAACTCGACCCCCCCTGGAAGCTGAGGCATCAGTAAACTGTATTGAAACTCACACCATGAAGGTTTGACCCAGCAGGCCCTTTAAGGGAGGTAGTAAAACAGTGCTGTTTTCGTTGACCATGAAGAAGGCATTTCTTTCAGTTTAGGCTGCCTTGATGTATTGTTGCAGTGCTTCAGTCATTTATTTCTTGCAGTTTCCTTTCTTTGGTTCAGGTTGGCTGCAAAGATGAAAAGCAGTTGGGGATGTAGCTCTGTGGTGGAGTGCATGCTTAGGATCCACAAGATCCTGGGTTCCATCCCCAGCATAAAAAAAAATGACAATTCCCCAGCCCCACCCGCTTCTCCCCTGGCCCAATTCTAGACAGAGCAAAGCAGATGACAGAGGCAGACATAACAGAGACCTAGATTCTGGCCTTGTGGCTATGTAAACTTGGATAAGCTGCTTTGTGTCATTAGGCCTCAGCTTTCTCATCCTCAAAGTAACAAAGGATTTATTTTCTCAACTTTGGAATAGTTGGCATTTGGGACTGGACTACTGTTTGTCGTGGGGGCTGTCCTGTACATTGTAGGATGTTTAGCAGCATCTGTGGTCTCTGCCTACTACATGCCAGTACCAAGCCCCTTCTCTCAGTTGTGACAACCCAAAATGTCACCAGAAATTGCCACAAGTGCCATGAGGACTCCAGTGCTCCCAGGTTGAGAGCCACTGATTTAGGTGTTCTTCTTTTCCTTACCATCCTCCATTTCCCCCTCCTGTGCCTCTTCCTCCTCCGCCTTCTCTTCTTCTTCCGCCTCCTCCTCCTCCTCTTCCTCCTCCTTCTCCTTTTTTTTGCAGTGCTTGGGTTAGAACCCAGGCAAGTATGCTATCACCACCTTCACTCCAGCCCTTAGATGATCTTTACATGCTCTTCTGGCTCCAATATTCTAGAATTCACTTTCCAATGATTTGCTCAATGTGGAGTCCTTGGTTAAAAAATCTGATTCCTTTTCATAATGTCATATACATATTGGCAAATACAGTGTGAAAGCCTTTTTATGTCAAAGATTTTCACAATCAGCTTCTGTCAAAATCAGAGGGGGCTTTTGTATGCCATTTGTACCAAGGGCACCAGCCTGGCAGAGAGGTAAGTGTTGGAGAAAGTGAAAAAAAAAAAAAAAACCATGTGCTGAAACCTGTCAAACACTTATGCCCAGCAGTCTTGAGTGTGTCCTGTGTATGCGCAGTCTCAGTCTGGGACAGACCTGCATCTGAGAGGCAATTTCCTCTTCTGCAAGAGTGGGAATAACAGTCTGTGCTCAGAGGTGTTCTAATGATGAAATGTGATATACTGCCTTACTGTCAAATGTAGCAAAGCGGGATGGTGACAGTGTCCACACAGCTGGGAGACAAACACAGACTGCCCATAGAATCACCACCTGATACTCAGGTGGTAAAAATGGCCCATTGAAGCCTCAGAACAGGACATGAGTCTAAAGGTCTGATTTTTGAACTTACAAGATCCCCTGGGACTGCCTCATTTTATTTCTCAGAGCAGTTGCCAAATGTATAACATGGGTCCAGCTGTCTTTGTTGGCCTTGCTTCCCTTGCTTTTTGGGTGGACCATATGGAAAGTAGAAGGTCTGCAAGCTGGGAAGATCTGAGGAGACATGAAGCTGTGATAGCAGTGGCATTGCAAGGTATGTGCCATTTTTACCAGGCATGGGGGAGAGGGAATGTTAAAAGGGCCAAAATATTTCCTTGACTCCCAGGGCCGGGACCATGATGTGCTCTTCCCCTCTGTCCTTGTCTGAAATGTGGCAGCCTCTCTCCCACCTCGGCCACCTCCCTCCTCAGTAAACTGTGTTGGCTGTGGGAAGCAGCTCCTATTATTAATCCTCAATTCACAGTGCAGTGATTCAATTTGCAGGCATAAGATGTGGCTAAGTGGAGGAATAAAGCTCTGAGATGAGGATGCAAATGGGCTACGGTGTCCCCCTTGGGCATCCTTTCTTTCTCTTGATCACTCACACAAAAGGGGAAAACTACCATGTGGAGAGGAGCTCTAGAGGTGTGGCAAGGACCTGAGATTCCTATCCCTCTGCAGCTTCAAGGGACTGAAACCTGCATGAGTATGTTAGACGCAGATCTCAGCCCCAGGCGAGCCCTGAGGTGACTGAAGTCCTTGACAGCCCTTGAGCCAATGCCTAATCTTAGCCACTCTCAGATTCCTGCCACTGGAACAGTGAAATAGGACATGTTTGTTTCCTGCTGCAGTATTTGGGGGCTATTTGTTACACAGCAATAGGTGGCTAATGCATGTGTATATGGAGAAGAGCCATATTGTTTCGAGATGCACATTGAGGTATTTAGAGATAAAATGTCATGATAGTAAAAGTTTATTTTTCTTAATTCTTTTTTTAAACATTTCTTGAACATTCTTATGTATGGCTGAATGGAACACAGATAAATTATGCTTAATTTCACAGCTGCTTCTACATTTGGTCTGTTGTAATATCACATGTCATGTAACCTCTGGAAAATTCTACTGTCCATTAATGAGAGAAAGGTTTAGAAAAAGCCATGTAATGGCTTAAGGTTATTATAGAAAATATTTCTGATACTACGAATCTTCTTAAAGTGTCTTAGCACCCCAAGGAGTCCCCAGACCATAGTTTGAAAATCATTGCTCTAGATCAATAATTTACTGTTAATAGTTCAGTTAAATAAATAGAGAGAATGAGATGAGGCAAATATAGCCAAATAGGAACAATTGCTGAATCTGGTATCATTTATTGGATTCTTTTGCACAAAGTTTTGTGTATTTGAAAATATTCATAAGAAAATGTTAAAGAAATATAGGCTCTTAGATGGGGGATTCTGATAGAGTAGATCTGGGGTGAGGCTCAGGGGAGCATTTTAAACCTGTGCTGCAGGTGCCCCTGAGCACATAGGCTTGAGACCCTCCTCTTTGCTACCCCAGAGGTCCTTACTTTCCCACCCCATCCCTTCCCCACCCCTCAGCCTTGCCAAACCAGAGGGGGCTGTAGTGGCTATGTGTCCCCTCTCCCACAACTGATGGTGGTGGGCTGTGGGAAGAACCCCTCTCCCACCTCTGGCACTCCCTCCTCAGAGAAATTCGGTATATTGGCTGTGGGAAACTCTTGCTATCAGTCCTGTGCTTCACCACGTCGTTACCAGGTACGGCTGGACAGAAACTTCTTTCTATGAGCAGGCATTTTTTTCACACAGTGATTAAGTATTTTTAATGAATTGTTTTTTGTTCAAATAGTAATACATGCACACAGTGAAAATTTCAAGGTTATTCAAAGAACAGTCTCCTTTCATTCCTGGCCCCTGACCCCTCTCTTTCCTAAGGCAACCATCAGTAACTTTCTTATACATAATTTCACAAAATATCTGTGCAAATCTGTTTCTATAATGTGTATATCACTTTCCTCTTTTTTCTTTCCCCTTTTTTTCTTTCTGGTGATCTAATTTGCACTGAATAAAATGTATGAGTCTTACTTCAGCTGTTTTTGACAGATCAAGATGGAATAGTAGTAGTAACCCACAAGGTCCTATCTTGCTCCACTTTAATCAAACTCTCTGGGAAGAGGCAACCATTGCTGTGCTTCCTGTGAGCCTAGGTTTTGACTCTACTTGAATTTCATGTGAAAGAAATTATACAATATGTACACTTTTATATCTGGCTGCTTTCACTCCACGTGATTTTGAGATTCATCCATGTTGTTTTGTGAAACAGTAATTCCTTCCACTTTCTTGTAAATAGCACTTTTGGAGAGGCAATGGGAGCACTTGATACACCCTCTTCTCATACTACTACTCCACTAGCAGCACACTGTGAGTGTTTCCCATGGTGTGGACAAAATGGTAATTTATTTAATCAGTCCTTGATTGATGGACATGTGCAATAGTCAGTGATTTGTAATCAATAACAATGGTGTTATGTGAATGCAAAGTCTTGGAAAGAGGAAGAGATCCTCTAGGGTGAACAGATTTAGATTGTGGAAGTAAGTTTCAAAATGAAAGCAGCCCTGGGGCTGGGGATTTAGCTCAGCGGCACAACGCCTGCCTGGCAAGTGCAAGGTCATGAGTTTGATTCCTGGTACCAGAAGAAAAACATTAAAAAAATAAATGAAAGCAGCCCTTATATTTTACACATGAGGCAGAGATGGCCAGAGAAATCCAGTGACTTTGCCCAAGGTCATGTGAGTGATCTGGACAGAGCTGTGGAACAACCAAGGAGTCTTGATGTACAGAACATTTTTCCCCACTCTGCACTCTGTGGGGGCAGGAACCATGTGCATTCTTGTGATCATTAAATATTGGTTGAATGGGGAAATAAGTGATACGTTAATGTCTGAGAAAAGGCCATCAACATTATGTGGCCTATAAAGGCATTTCCATAAGATACAAGCCTCAATATTCATTCATTCGTTCATTCATTCATTCATTCATTTCTTTTTCATGTAGCAAATATTCCTTGGGTCCCTGCTATGTGTCTAGACTAGAGTTTCTCATCCTTGAAACTGTGGCTCTTTGGGGTTGGCTGATTCTTTGGTGGGGACTGTCCTCTGTACTGTAAGGTGTTTAGTAGCACCCCTGCTCTCCACTCACATAGCAAGTCCTCCAATTGTGACAGCCAGAAATGTCTCTAGTCATTGTCAAGTGTCCTCTGGGCACAAACTGCCCACAATTGTGACAATGATAAACCCAAGTGGTAGGATAGGAGGTGGAATCAAATGGACAAGCTGCATGCCCTTGAAGAACTGTCACTGGAGTTAGAGAAAAAGACTAACTGTTTGCTAGGTTATGCTATTGAGTGAAAGATGAGGAGGCAAAGGATGGGCAGCAGTTCTTGAGGGTAAGGTGCCTGACTCCTGGGTGAATTGAACCTAAATTTGTGTTGTTTTGTTTTGTTTTGTTTTGAGACAATGTCTTGCTATGTAATCCAGGCTGGGCTTGAACTCAAAGTCCTCCTGCCTCAATTGCCTGAGTGCTGGGATTAAAAGTGGTGCATACCACTGTGCTCAGCTTGAGACCAGATCCTTTCGCAGAAGAGGTGACTTTAACTCCTCCTAAAGCTACAAAATAGGGGAGTCCTGGATGGCTGGGTTCAGGCTCTAGGATTCATACATGGGACAGTACAGCCACCAGAGCAAGAGTAGAGAAGAAAAGGACACATGGTGGGTGTCTCCGTCTGAGGATGGTGTTTT